CATACAAAAGAAGTTATATCTATAATTTTGCATTTACAACTTGTCCTCCAGAAAAATACTTTTTAAAAATATGATAAAGAATGAATTGCATCCCCTCCAGCCGTATTAGGGGACATGCAACCAAGTTCCTTCACTTTGGACAAACAGTACCTACAAGGTGACGGTAAGGCATGTTAAGACACTTTTTGAAATATTTTGAAATATTGAACAACGTAACTATGATACAGACATAGCCATATTGACTAACAGAACAAATCAAAGTTTGTTTGGAAGACACAAACAATTTATGGGAACATTCCTGCCAAGGTGTCAAGATTCTGCTTAAACACCTATAGAGATCAGCTCAACAAGCATTTATTATGGTATTGAGCATCTTTGCTATCTCAGACTCGGGACTATTGCTAAAAGATGCAATGTGCACCAAAGCGAGATCCTTGTTCTTAAAGACCATGGATTCAGGGTAGCAGCTCCAATCCTTATTTTTAAATGAAATGCACAAAGCGGATGATGATTACATCTAGGGCACTCCCGTAGACATATGCAGTTTTGATGTCTATCCCCTCTTTTCACCCTACCAACACAAGGCATATGGTGATTACATCTGTGAATCTTTTTTTTTTTTTACAAATAATTCACATTTTTTAACTGAAGTATAGTTGACACATGATGTTACATTAGTTTCAGGTGTAACAACGTAGTCATTTAGAGACTTTTAAAAATCAACAACCATTTGTCTGTTTAGAGTGTTTACTTCATGTTCTGCTCCTTTCTCCAACTCTTGGCCAAAAGCTGCTGGATGCAGGTAAGGGCAGGATGAGGAATACAAACAGAGGCTGTAATAATTCCTGCTATTTTAGGCCACTGATGTAGGGCCCTGGTACACCTGTGGTTCCTGAGATTTCCTTCTGTGAATGTAAACCAGTAGAATGGGTGATATAATATGGAGAAGCAATTCTGAATTTATTATCTACATTGAACTGAACTTTTTTTTTTTGATACAGTACTTTGTGTATGTATATAATTCTTCACCTTCAGTGTGTCTTTTTACTGCCATGGCACAAATTCTTCTGCAACTTCTCTCGAGATTCACCCCCCCATCACACGTGAGCTTGCCTTCAATTACCATTTATTTCATTTTTTTTTTCTAACTGTAAGGCAATTACTAAGGGGGTGGTATCCTTGTAAGAGCACCTGGGAATGGATTGCGTATAGTTATCCAGACCTTAATTCTACATTTTAAATTTCTTAGAAGAATACAATGCAATCATTAGGTTGGATTGCTTTCTCTCCTTTTGCCTTTTCTCCACTCTACAAGAACTGCATAACCTCTCCTTAATTTCCCAATTTGTTTTCTCTTATTTTTTTCTCCAAGCTAAACTGGGTGTTCTTCCTCCTCTAATAGAATACACTCTTTTCTGGATTTACCATATTTGATCAATATTATCTACCCAAAACACATATACCAATTGGTCATAATGCACAACTGACTTGCAACACATAATGTGAACTATTATTTGTGAACACAAAAAATTATTTTCAGTCATAGCAGTTGTCAGAATATTCCTTATATTGACCCCAAATCTATGTGCCCTTAATCCTTTGCATTGGACCTAGTTCTGATATCTCAGGTGAAACCTGTTTACATGATTAGCTTTCAACAATAATTTAGGAAAATAGCTATCATAGATTCCCTTACTTACATTTCTAAATGCCACAAAGCCTGATTTTGAAGCATTTCCATCATTCTGCCACTTTTTTTAGAACGCACACCAATTCAACAATGTCCATATGTTTAGTACTAAAGGAGATCCTTTTTTTTATCTCAATTCAATTAGCCAACATATAGTACATCATTAGTTTTTGATGTAATGTTCTATGATTCATTAGTTGCGTATAACACCCAGTGCTCATCACATCATAAAGGAAATCCGATCGTTGCATCTATTAGCAAAAAGCTTAAAGGAGCTGCAGACTCCTTGGTTGTGAATACTGTAAGTTACAGGTTTTTGAGTCAGAGGAACCTGGGCACAAATCCCAGTTCTGATGTTAACTAGCTGCGTGATCTTGATTGGCTGTTCAAGTCACTTCCCTGAGCCTCAATTTACCCTTCTGGGGTATCTCCTGTCTGCCTCATATCTCACTGTAAGGTTTAAATGAGATGTGATCAGCTCAGCACAGTGCCTGATACAAAGCAAGGATCCAGTAATGGTGGCTCTTGTTCTTGTGGTCATTATTGTCTATTATTATTATCATTACTCCTACTACTCCTCTGGGAATGTTTGCTTTTAGACAAAAAGATGTCACATCACTGAGTCCCTGTAAACTTAGAGTCAAAAGGAACCCCCATCATGTCTCCCACATATGCTGCTGTTTTATTCTAAGGCATCTCTTTAAATGACTGCAAAAATACCTGTCCTTATACTTGTATATTAGCATATTATTTAAAAATCTAACAAACTGTTTTCTGGCATTTGTGCCAAATGAATTGACCAATCCTATTTCTAATTAGTTATTTAACATTATTTTATCTCTGCTTTATTTTCTTAAACCATTGTGGCTCACCCCTTCCTTGACATGTCTAGATAAAAACTGGGAAGGAAAAGAAATATAGATATTTCTCACTAAAACAAAGAATTGGTTCAGTCCTAAATTAAATTAATTCAATCCATGGGGGTTGAAGAGAGGATGAACAGAGAAAGCAATCAAACTTTTTGCTCACCTTGGAAACAGAATTAGAAAAATGTTAACAATGTAGATAATATTTTCCTTTAAACTGTCATTACCTCAAGCTGATAAGAAATAGGGCACATCAACAAACATTAAGCAAACACTCTTCCTTTCTGCCTTAATAGGATCAACCTGAGCTGAGAAAAACTGCTTTATCATCATCACCATAAACACCTGACCATTGTTAAGTGCCTGTCACAGGCAAAATTACGAATATTAAAAAATATGAGATATAAACTCTGGTTGGGGTCAAAAGGCATCTAAAGATAGAAAAAGGAAGCATTTGTGTGCCAAGCAATGGCAGAACCAGGATGTACTTCAGCTCAAAGGATAAAAACATTCTAATGTGACTAAGATAAGGCAAGCATTCCGGAAGTCAGGGAGAATGAAATTTGCATTTAAAATTTCCTGTCTAGGCACAGCAAAGGAAACAGTCAACAAAACCAGGAGGCAACCCACAGAATGGGAGAAGGTATTTGCAAATGACACTACAGATAAAGGGCTGATATCCAAGATCTATAAAGAACTTCTCAAACTCAACCCCCAAAAAACAAATAATCAAGTCAAAAAATGGGCAGAAGACATGACAGACAATTATCAAAAGAAGACATACAAATGGCTAACAGACACATGAAAAATGTTCATCATCATTAGCCATCAGGGAAATTCAAATCAAAACCACACTGAGGGCGCCTGTGTGGCTCAGTCGTTAAGCGTCTGCCTTTGGCTCAGGTCATGATCCCAGGGTCCTGGGATCGAGTCCCGCATTGGGCTCCCTGCTCTGCAGGAAGCCTGCTTCTTCCTCTCCCACTCCCCCTGCTTGTGTTCCTGCTCTTGCTATGTCTTTCTCTGTCAAATAAATAAATAAAATCTTAAAAAAAAAAAAAACCACATTGCGATACCACTTTACACCAGTTAGAATGGCAAAAATCGACAAAGCAAGAAACAACAAATGTTGGAGAGGTTATGGAGAAAGGGGAACCCTCTTACACTGTTGGTGGGAATGCAAGTTGGTACAGCCACTTCGGAAAACAATGTGGAGGTGCCTCAAAAAATTAAAAATAGAGCTACTCTATGACTCAGCAATTGCACTCCTGGGTATTTACCCCAAAGACACAGATGTAGTGAAAAGAAGGGCCATATGCACCCCAATGTTCATAGCAGGAATGTCCACAATAACCAAACTGGAAAGAGCCGAGATCCCCTTCAACAGACGAATGAATAAAGAAGATGTGGTCCATATAGAGAATGGAATATTACTCAGCCATTGGAAAGGATGAATACCCAACTTTTACATCCCTGTGGATGGGACTGGAGGACATTATGCTAAATGAAATAAGTCAAGCAGAGAAAGTCATTTATCATATGGTGTCACTTATTTGTGGAACATAAGGAATAGTATGGAGGACATTAAGAGAAGGAAGGGAAAAATGAAGGGGGGAAATCAAAGGGAGAGATGAACCATGAGAGACTATGGGCTCTGAGAAACAAACTGAGGGTTTTAGAGGGGAGGGGGGTGGGGGAATGGGTTAGCCCAGTGATGGGTATTCAGGAGGGCACGTATTGAATGGAGCACTGGGTATTATATGCAAACAATGAATCATGGAACACTACATCAAAAACTAATGATGTAATGTATGGTGATTAGCATAACATCATAAAATTAAAAAAAAACTAATGATATATTGTGACTAACATAAAATAAAATAAAATAATAAATAAAATAAAATAAAATAAAATAAAATAAAATAAAATAAAATAAAATAAAATAAAATTTCCTGTCTAGGATGCCTGGTTGGCTCAGTCAGTTAAGCATCTGCCTTCAGCTCAGGTCATGATCCCGGGGTCCTGGGATTGAGTCCCTAGTCAGGCTCCTTACGCAGTGGAGAGTGTGCTTCTCACTCTGCCTGCAGCTCCCCCGGCTTGTGCTCTCTCTCTGTGTCAAATAAATAAATAAAATCTTTTAAAAAGTAATAAAACAAATATTCCTGTCTAACTCTTTATTCTTTTTATGATTACCCTTGGATACAGTGCGTTCTTACCCAGATAAGGCAAATGTTTGTAAACCCCCAGACAATGACTTGTCAAGTTTTTCCTCCATGCTGTTCATCCACCCAAAAATCTCTTTCAGTCCTCACTTCTGTCCATAACTTAGGACAATACACTTCCTTTTTCAGGAAACTTTTCTTGCAGAGGTCTTCTGGAATCTTCCTGTCATATATCTTTGTAAGCTGGCAACATCTGTGTTTGTCGTTTATATCTATTAGCGTGTCACTCTCTCAAGAGTGAATGATGTACCTGGTTTCTCTCTTGAGCCCAGCAGCAAACGGACTATGTAGGACACATAGTCACAGAACACAGGCTAACAGTTATATCATAGTGGAGGCAGCCAGACCACATTTCCAGTCCTAGATTCATCCCTTTTTGGCTTTTACTTGGATGTGATATCTGACCTCTCGAAGGCTTAGTTTCTCCGTCTGTAAAACCAGCATAATCCTGTCTTCATTGTAGGATTCCTAGTCAATTGAAAATAATAGGTGTAAAACACATCCTATAATGACAGGCATGTAGCAGAGACTCCATAATTGATAGCCATTGATATTACTATGATTAGAATGAATGAATGCGTTCACCAATGTTAGTCATAGATGTTTCAGGGTTACTTAGTGTCTTTCAGACTTCCTACTGATGTGTCTTTTAAGGCACGAATATCTCTTTTTGGTTTTTAATCATTTGGATTCTCCTTATTACGTCGGTTACTGAGATCAGCATGGTGTGAACTATGTCTCTGGGTAGATCCCCTTTTTAGTCTCAACTGAGCAACTGTTCTTATTCTACTCTTCTGAACAACAATTGGAAGATAAAAATGACCGTTTTCAACATCCATGATTCTGATTAAGCAGATTTATTTTGTCCTGTGGACTCTAGCTTCTACTCTCCCTGTTGCCCCCTATATCACACTTGAAAAAACATCGTGTTTTCCTTTATGCTCTTTTCTAAGAATAAGGTTTTTGAGGAACATGTCATCTTCTAATTCCAACTATATTCTACCTCTCCGACGAAATACATCTTTTCAATGAAAATCCTCAACTGGGTGAGTATGTGATATGATGATAGCGTGATCAGCACTGATTCTGCTATACTTTTCTTATTCCTCTCTTCCCTCAATTCTTTGCTTACCTTTCTGTTCAGACTTGAATTAGTGGGTCCTTGGGTAGATGATAATAAGAGAAAGTATGGAAACACTGCACGATCTCTAGAAGTTTGCCTACTCTTCCTCTATCTGAAGGATCTTTTATTAAGCTGTGCTGAACAGTTGGGAAATTTGGAGAAGATGCAGTTAGTTAATAAATTGTCTTATTTCTCCACTAGAGAGGAAAACGGGGTATTTAAGCCATATCATCAGACATTCTGCGCATCACCTCTTTTATGAATGAGATTTTCCTCACTAACTTTCACTGATAGTGCTGCTGAATATATTAATAGATTTTAACCTACCATACCTTTTCCATGTTAAGTAACTCAAAACTTCTGTTTGCTGCTTGTTCAGAACCTTTCAAATGCTTCTCATAATTTTTTCATGAGGACAAAGTTGTGCTTTAAAAAAATAATAATTATTATTCTTGTCCATTACTGAGAAATGCCTGTTGAATGATAAATTGTATCACTGATGGGATAATTCCAATCTGGGAATTCAAACTAATTATTTACCCATATCTTTTTAATTTGCCTTTTAGTTGTCAATTGTTTATCAGATATGATGGTATAAAAATGTTTTGATGTGCTTGGCATCAATTGCTCAGCACTCAAATATGTTCACTGTAGATCAACTTGAGCTTTTGAACACAGCTAGTATATCCCTGAGAGACAGTATTAATCATTTTTTTTCCACATGACATAATATATGTTATCACAAGACAGTAAATGCTCAGGGTCTACACTACTAATTATTGTGTCTTAAGCTATTTATTTATTTATTTATTTATTTATTTATTATATTCAATTAGCCAGCATATAGTACATCATTGGTTTTTGGATGTAGTGTTCAACGATTCATTAGCAATGTCTTTTTAAACTTAAGTTTACCCCTATGATATGGACATTTTTAAATCCAGGTTATAAACAAATAGTCCTATTTTTAAAAGTATTTTTAAGATGTAGATATGATAAGAGTGTACTACCATCTGAATATTATAATATCCTTATATTTCCAAATTCTCACATTTTTTACACAGAAAAACCTGTTTTAACTTTGTATTTATAAAGCACCTTAAATGCTTCTAAGAACCAAAGAAAAAACATATATACTAATAAATGAAGAGCATCCTATTTGCCATGGACCGTTGCACTCCTCTTATGCATATTTGATGACAGTAATTTACTACCTCTCTCTTAACCTCCAATGACCCTGTGGTAGCATGGAATAATTTTAACAAGGAAGACAATCACAGGTTCATCAAAAGAATATTGCCCTCATATTTTTATTCAAATCGTATCTATGTGGCCTACATGTCTGTCCATTAGAGAGCAAGAAGTTAATGGCTCAGATTTTGAATGCATGTTAATCTTCTCAAGCTCTGTGACACCGTGACCTTTTTGAGTGTACCAAAATGGAACCTTCCCGTTCTGGAACTAGTAACCCATCCCCCAAGCATACAGAGGTGGGAACATACCAGATTTAGGTTTCATAGTTCACATTTCTCTAGCACGAGTTGTTGTTTTTAGTTTGAGTTCTAAGTATGCCAAATTGACAGTAAATTACTGAACAGTGAACAAAGTGGAAAATTGATAACCTCTATGTATCTTCACAACACAAATATACCTATTTAATGGATCTTTTTTCTCACTTGTTATTTTTAAAAAATGCACTGTTGGCAGTATGGTATTTTCTCTTTTACTCAGAGACAATACTTGCCTTACAACTTCTTTTATATTTACTCAGTAAAAAGGGTCATATATAGGGTGACCATATAATTTATTGTCTGAATTGAGGGATATTGAGAAAGAAAGAGGAGCAGGTCTGCTAGAGTCAGGGTCATGGTGTAAGTCATGATCATCCAGGCAGGCTGAGATACCTCCTGATCTTTTCCTTGCAAAATTCAACCATCTGAAGCCAAAATGGACTTGAAATTACCCAAATGGGTAAAGGTGGCTCCATTCTGTACTACTACTTACTTGTCCTCTTTGTTCTAATGAGCTTTTGATTCCTTAAGCTATCTAAGAGTGGTGCATGAAAAAATTTCATATGATTTCTGATGTATTATTAAATGTTCAATTCATGTAATTTGACATACTTAAAAAATAAATTGCTTTTCCATTTTTGTAGAATTGTAATTTAATCCCAATAGAAATAGTATATTAATATGTGAAATGATTCATTACTAACTCCAAAATAAAATATGTGTGTGCGTAGTCATTGGCATACAATAGCCACAGAATCATGGAAGTTGTCATAAACATGACATGGTAGCTCAAAAATTCTAGGACTCTTGGATTCCAGTTTCATGGCATCAGATTTAATAAAGGTATCCATCGCAATAATCTGCAATATAATTAGAGCACAAAATGTTCCCATATCCCCTGCTTCTGGAGATTACAAAGCAAAGGAAACTTGAATTTGCATTTGAATTTTTCATGTATTGAAAGTTAAAAGGCCCCGCCTCCTAATATCATTACATTGGCGTTAGGATCTCAACATACGAATACTGGGGGGATGCAACCATTCAGTCCATAATCCTCACTCTTTTCTTTTCAATTGTAGTATAAGTGACATAAAACACTTTATTACTTTCAGGTATAATATGTAATAATTTGACACTTTGGGTATACTGCAAAATAATCACCACAATGAGTCTAGTCACCATCTGTCACCATAAAAAGTTATAAAAACATTTTTTTCCTTGCAATAACTTTCAAGATCCACTATTCCTACAACTTTCAAACATGCACTACAATCCAGTGACTTTAGTTACCACGCTGTACACCACATCCTTGGGACCAATTCATTTTACACTGGAATTCTGTACCACCCGAAACCCCACTTTGTTCTTCATATTCATGAGTTTTGTTTGTTCATTTGTTTTATTTTTTAAATCCCAAGTATAAGTGAGATCATACGGTATTTATCTTTCTCTGACTTATTTCGCTTAGCATAATTCCCTTAAGGTCCATTCATGTGTCACAAATGGCAACATTTCCTTTTTATGGCTAAGTAGTATTCCACTGTATGTGTATAACACACTTTCTTTATCCATTTATCCATCAATGGAACTTAGGTCGTTTCCATATTTGACTATTGTAAATAATGCTGCAATGAAGAGTGGTATGTTTCCTTTAGCCCTTGGAATCTCCTAGATGTAAGCCCCATTGGTTTTGAGAGAAAGAACACAAGCAGGGGGAGTGGGAGAGGGAGAAGCAGGCTTCCCACGGAGCAGGGAGCCTGATGTAGGGCTCGATCCCAGGACCCTGGGATCAAGACCTGAGCCAAAGGCAGATGCTTAATGACTGAGCCACCCAGGCGCCCCAGCCCCATTGGTTTTCAAAGCTAGACATTTTAGGGGATCATCTCTCCAGAGCTGGTCCTAAGGGTTAGGGTGCCTGCTATAAGGCACAAAACATTTGCTCCTTAGGGAGGAGCTCCTATTTTGAAATCCCTTCTGACTGTGTTCCACCATGCCAAAAGTGGGATTCTGGGTGAGAAAATGTCTATCTCTGCTACCTGTCTTCATGTAGCCCTTTTATTCATTGCTGTGAGGAGCTATTCAGTTACTTTTCAGATATCTTTCAGAGGGGATTGCTCCACATATAGCTGTATATTCAGTGTGTTCATAGGAGGAGGTGAGCTCAGGCTCTTCCTATGCCACCTTCTTGGACCACCCCCAACATCCACTTTTAATGAAAAAAAAAAAAAAAAACCAGTCATTTTTGTTATTGTTTGTTCCTGGTAAATAAATAATGAGAAATGTATTTTCATTGGCCATATACTGGCGACTTATGTTGTGGTGGCCCTTATGGTCTCACCAACTTGGTCGTCAAATGTAATCATGCAAGAGAGTTTGCTACAATCTCAGAACATCCAGTAGAATGAATGGCTGTGTCAACTTCTGTAGTATGGTAGACACCTCACTATAGGTTTGTATCTACCACCTGCTCCTATGCCATTACCAACTGAGGGAGAAAATTTCATTGCCATCTACACTCGTCACTGAGTTCTCTGTCATTGTGAGCACACACTTAGGGAGAAATCGGAGTTTCTTCACAAGGGTATATAGGTTCTATTGTCCATGAAATTTCTACTGAAATACAGAAATGGCAGTAAATTGCTTGCATTAGGGGGTCCTGAGGATTGTACCTTGTCCTGTAGGGTGGATTCTATGTTAAGGTCAGCACAAGAGAACTTTGACACTAGGAGACACAGCAGGGAGTTGGGTACTAAGGGACTTTCCAAAGGAATGAGGTAAAAAGCTTTCACATACAGTTTTCTCAGGAATCTTCCTAATCATGTATGCAGGGAATG